CAATGCTTTTGAAGCCTAGATAGATTTCCTCAAAACAGTGTACGCGTTGTTATGTTCTCACTGTGCAACTGATCCAGCAAACTGTGTTCCCAAAATAGTCATTTAAATGTAAATCCGGGACAAAGCACATGTGCAGTCCATTGAAATTGAAACCAAAACGAACCGTGCAACCCGTCGAAATTGAAACGAAACCGAACTGATTCAACAACAAATGACTGTCTATCTAACTCAATAGCAGAATGATTGAATGACTCAAAAACTTTTACGGTTTTAAATTACAGGGGGCTAGTTTTGTTCCCACCTCACGCGATCGCCATGCTAGGTGTTCATATAAGTACTATGGCATACTGTTCATACTGAGTGTTAAAGGTGCTGATGAGTTTGTGTTTACAGTATTGACGGACAAACACGAGGAATTCGCCGAAAGCGATCCCTAAAATATAAATTATGTATCCTTGTTATTCTCGACGCAGAAAAACGCCAAACATCGTGCTTTAACCGTTTGGCAATATTGCTTCGTATTCGGGGGTCCCAAGTTCGAGTCTTAGCCTGGAGACTTGCTACTTTCTTTGACATGTGTCCTTGGATCTCCTCAGCTCCTCCAAACAAATGCCACATTGATGTCTTAAAATGGTAAAGTAATGCTTCCTTCCACATCCTATCCAGCTGAACATTCACATTCTCTTCCATCTGATTATCTTCTGGGTTTTGGCGATTCTTCGCTACTTCAGTCCTGAAGATGGAAGCAGTATACTTCTCCGAAACGTTAGTGTCTATCGTTGAATCTACACGGCGCTAAAACCCTGAACAACATCATTCTCAACGCCGTGAAAACCTCAAATTTCACATTTTCCATTTGGCTCAGGATAAACAATGCAGATAAGATAACTAACTAGATGGCTTACCGAGCCCGAAGGTTCATCACCGAATTAACCAAAGCCCTCCACCAGACCCTGTCCTGGGCCAACAAAATCCAGTCTCCTTCAACTCCTATCTCCCATAGATCCCGCCTGAGATTATACTCCCATCTACGTCTAGGTCTCCCCAGGGGTCTCTTCCCCTCAGGTTTCTCAAATAGTGGACCCAACCAACCAGATGGCTTACGGAACCCAAAGGTTCATCACCGAATTAACCAAAGCCCTCCACCTCACCCTGTCCTGGGCCAACAAAATCCAGTCTCCTTCAACTCCTATCTCCCATAGATCCCGCCTGACATTATCCTCCCATCTACGTCTAGGTTTCCCCAGGGGTCTCTTCCCCTCAGGCTTCACAACCAATACCTGGTGCATACCTCTTGTCTACCGGCTCGTTCCAACTGGAGAGCCGCTGGACCAATGTGGACAAACAAGTTCGATTTTGGTAGTATTTACGAGAAAGTTAGTACGATCATTTCGATTTCAATCAAGATCAACACCACAACGTATCGTACGTATTGTAACATAACGTCTAAGTGGAAATGGTCGTCTTGGAGAACACAATGTTGGACAGACTAATTAAGAAACACAGACAGGAAAATACAGTATTTTCAGCTATTCTATAGTTTATGGTACCACGTTACACAAATTCATAGACTTATTCTACGACTGTTCAATACAATGGTTTAACTGCAAAAAAATCTGGAGCTTCAAATTGAAAGTAGTCAGACGAATTTTAAGTCTATCAGTATCGATGTAATATAACCTCTACTTTACACGGGAGCTTACATGTAACTTTATTAATTTTTTAAAAAGTGGCTCAAAGTACACAAACTTAGTATTCTACATAACAAAAAATATATATCTCATTAAAAACACCTTCCTTTAAGGATACGTATGCTTTCACAACGTGGAACAATAAGTTTTATCTCCCATCTGCCGAGTAACCTAAACTCGGAAAATTTATTCTGTACCGGAATATACATAATATCATCATGCGTTCCTTGCAACGTGCATTTAGAAGTCTAGTTCCCTCCTTGTTCGGTAGTCCCCACTTTAGCAACCAGATCGCAGCACCTCAGTGTCTACCTCACAACTTTCTTTGTCCGTAATTTTCTTATTACCGCTCATAAAATATTCAAAATAAGATTCTGAGGTCGTGTACAATAGCAAAACCTCTATATAAAATTTCATCCAAATCCGTCCAGTGGTTCTCGAATTGAACTGACCGGACGGACGGACAGACATACCAGCCCAGTCAAGCGCTTAGTGCAAAGAACGCATAATAGCAATAATAATAATAATCAAATTCTTTATTATTAGTGTGCTGCTTCAACAGCCAGATGGCCAGTTAGAGACAGCTCAAAAATAAAGAAAAAACAGGCTACTTATTGAGCCGAGCCCTCTTAAGCATGCTTCCGTTCAGCATTCACTTCCCATTTTCACCTAATCATCCTTCCCCCGGGGTTCTCCAATAAAAGTTACAAGTCTACAGGTACGTATTTCTGCAAATCCCCTACTCTGATTTGCCCTCATTAGATTACCTTAACAATATTACGTGCCGAGCACAAATTGTGAAGCTGCTTACTGGCAATAAGCACTCTTGAGAGAAAGATTTATTTTCTCGTCTCCCCCTCTCGAAACGTTGCTCGCAGTTTAATTTATTTTGCATTACGTATTTTCTTCTTTTCGTTATTACGACAATTTCGGTCCGCGCAGCGCCCCGCCCCCAGCTCTTGTAGTTCCTACCCCATTCCTAACATAATTATTATTATATCTCTTTCGCCACAAAGTTTTCGTTGATGCCTAATCGAAGTGACTCCATTGAGCAGGGCCCTTCCTCAGCGACAGCTAATGGTCGTTTAGCTGGTCAACAAATTTCCATCCCCATATTTTTATTGCCTTTCAGTAGCTGTTTTAAGGCCTCAGTAACAGAATCATTGTGTCATCGTAATGATACTTTAGAAGGATTGGACAGGCTATGTGTGTACAGACCGAACTCTCGGTAGTTCGTTATTCTTCCCGCCTTTTCAAACTTGTTAATCCTCTTCCTGTCGCACGGACGGCGCCATGTTTATCTGGCGTCGCTGCCACGGCGCCCCAACCTCCATTACAAAGGCTCGCTTGTTTACACAACCTTCAGCATATTTTGGTAAAGTCCGGTTCACGAACCTCATACGGCCCGCGACAGTTCAATATACATAAATACAAACATACATGCATACCCCGAGCGGGATTCGACACAGGAACCACCCCAGCAGCGTACGGCCAAACGAAGGCAATGGGTCTAAGGAATTTACAGATTACGCAATTTATTGTTCCCTTTGTGTCCTCCTAAACAACTTTATTTATTTATTAAACCTAACAGAAACACATTCAAATCTAATTCCTTAATTCAATATAAAAGTAGAAGCCTCTACAGAACACATTCTTGGTCCTCTCAAATCTCAAACTTCTTGTGTATTCAGCACAATTCTGCCTAGAATTAAATATTTTGTTATTAATTAAAATAGGTAGGACTCCTTGGATGGGGGATCAGACCACCGTAAGACATCTAGCATCATAGGACAACAAACAAAAGCGAATAAACATCTATGCCCCAACTTAGATTCGAAGCTGTGTTCGAGTGATTACAGACAGCAATGGTAATACAAACCACCGAATCCATTAGAACTAGTGAATATTGATAAGACAATGAACTGATAGAGTTCCGGTAATATAGAGCCTCTGTTCCAATCTTTCCCTTAATGACTAAGTACGTCTAGTTAATCCCACGGCACCTTATTAAATTCCAATTTCTCTAATAACGTAATGAACTGGCAAGAATCGGCCACACCTATCAGCAAATTAATTTTCATGTGAGAATAATTTCCTCTCTCACTAAAATATTTGGGCGTCTCCATAGAACCGCCTAAGATAAGCTGAAGATCTCCTGCTGCACGACTGATAACAAAAGTAACTACTTAGGACGAACCTTAATTACCATAAACTTATTAGTAAGTAAAGTCTATGATTATCGCGAAACAGAGTCAGATACACACTTTCTTGCGAAGCATAGGATGTACAAACTCCTCTTAAATTACTGCCTTACAGTGGGTTGTTCAGAATGTACAAACAAAGGATAGGACAGAGCAGTATATTTTAAACAGCTTCAACTCTCAAGCAATGATTTTCCGTGTCCAAAAATTTTGATGTCGATGTTTCAAAATATAAATCTGTATGAAGACAAAATTATGAACATGTAATAAACATTTAAGTAATGCGTTTATTCTGAATATGCACACAAAACAAAATCCCAAGATCAGAAAGACCACCGAGAATTCCTTGTACCCGTTCATCTGCAAGTATGTACCAGCGTCTACCTGACAGATTTCGTTCAGACTCGGTGTAGTAGGCCTGTACGGTCTAGCCACTGTAATATCGTTTAACAACGTTTCATTTTAAGGGCAACTTTACTTTAAGATATGAGCTTTAACTTACATGCGTGATTCCTTTTTGATAAATTTTTCAAATAACATTTGTCTCTTACAACCATTAAACTTTGTTTTACCCACTTTAATTAATCTTTAAAATCGCTTTACTAGAAGTATTTTGACAGATTTTGACGAAATTCAGAAAACAATACTTCTGTTACGCATATACCAGTTTAATTTGCCATGTACAAATTTAATTCACTTTGGTTTATTTGAAAGTCGGCATTGCTTAAGCAACTAAATGTAGTTTTGTGCGTATCTCACAAAGTATTCACCTAAGAGAATAATCCCTTAAATAAATAAACCTTACAGAGAACCATATAACAAGTGTTTTATCGTGTGTAAAACTGTCTTAAAGTCAGTGACTTCGAGAAAGTCATTAGTTTAATAGCTATTAATTGTGCGCCATCGAAAATATTTTCGAACCTACTGCTGTCAAGCATCTGCCCCAAAGCTGTGCGTTTGACAAAGCACTTTCATTGATATGAGATTTTCATAGCGGTAAGTATTAATATTTGTGTGAGATTTAACACATTCACAGACAACACAACATTTATTGCAAGGAAAAGTATTTTTCAGTCTCGCACAAAAGTGACGTCATTTTCTGACTTACCTTACCAAAGCTACCTTTCCCAATCGCCCTCAAAATTTGGAAGTGGTCGAAGTTCACTGGAAATAAAAATTAAATGTATTATTATAAGTTAAAAGTTCAATTAAAAATCAAACAAACAACGAACAAAGTAATTAATGACACAGAATTAATCTTTCGGAAAACTCAAATGTACAGTATAAACGGTGAATGTTTTTAAGACGTAAATATTGGTCTTCACAGTCGTCTGGCTCCTTAGTACGTCTCGGTTTCTCATTAACGCCTTGTAAAACATTATAATTCTGCAGCACCTGTTGAACACAGGGAGGGTAAAAAAAGAAACACCCCGGAGACAAAGTGAGTCACAACACGCACATTTCTCCACGTCCAAACTACAAACGCCAACATAATTACTTTAGTCAAACAGAAACGTTCTTATCAAATTTCACCAAATGAAAAGTACAATTTATATTTAATGCAGGTTTGCCTGTTATTAAACTACACAAGGAGTTCCAGACAGAAATCATAAAGCATACTTTCCTACCGCGTGGATTTAGTCCAAACTTCGTATTGTTGATGTTACATGTCAGTATTTATAATTTATAATCCAACAGTAGAATGTAATTTGCCTCATGGAACAGCGTGTTTCGTGATCAGATGTTCATAAGATTGAATTCCCAGCCGGGCCACACTGTTTTATAACTTTTTAAATTCTAAATAAGTCATATAATTTATTATTGTTATTACTGTTATTAGTAAAATTAAATTTCGTCTATATTCAGTACTCAAAGTTCTTACTGTGGCAGCGTTTATAATTGAATTACACAATATTTCAAATGTAATTAGTATGCATGCTTATGATTACATCCATACCAAATTTCACATACCTGATACAAAAAGTTCATGAGTTATTATTTTTTATTTAGTGTTCTGTCTGACGACAGTTCCATATGAACAGGATTCTCCCATCCTTTTCTCGGACTGGGACATGTTCATATACGTTCTTGGCAGATGATCGAGTAGTGGTTTGCCATTGCCTTCTTCTGTGTGTGAATGGAGTAATTGTTGGGATGCCACGGAGGAAAACTCCGTGTTGCCTAGACCACGGCCTTACCCAACACAAGTTATAAATTCGGGCACCGCCGGGAATAGAACCCGAGACCCCAGGATTACAAGGCCAGCGTTCTAACTGCTAGACCACCGTGGCGGTGTCGTTCATGAGTTATCGCTGTTAAATTTTAAAGTGAAGATAAACAGATGTTCGCACGGTAGGACATATTGCTGGCTTACAATTCACAAAAAATTGTAACATAGTTTCATGTTTTTAGAGCTCTGTTAATTGCTATACGGTATTTCAAGATCCTGTATTAAGTGGCGTTAATGTCAGTCCCACTCAAAAGTTCTCATGCCTGTCATATTGCTGTCCGCCATGTTGTTGTTACTGACCGCAGGAAAAAGCAAGTATGAAGTTGGGGGTGGCCTCCAATGGCAAAACGTTCATACCAAGTTGCGTGAAAATCGTTCAACTGGTTCAAAAGTTTAAAAGGACGTCATATGCATAACGTGGCGATCACCTAATCAAAAAAGTCTACTGTCACTGGCTTCAACAGCGATATTAAATATTCTGCCGATCAGCTATACATCACATCCTTCCATCTTCTATTATTTCAACGTGGTTAATCTAATTGCGACTGTGTCCTTCATTTTCGTATTCGGTTAAAATATGAAGTTCGATATCTCTTTATCTCGTTACCCACATTATCACCGTTGATTTTCAACTTTGCTTTACAATATGCAATTAGAAAGATCCAGGAAAACCAGTTTCGACTGGAATTGAATGGGGCACATCAGATTCTGGTCTATCCTAATGATGTAAATCTAATGACGGATAACATAAATACCACAATGAAAATCCCATAAAATCTAATTGATGCTAGTAAGGATATTGGTCTAGAAGAAAAAACATAAAACAAAGTATATGTTGATGTCTCGTCACCAGAACGCAGGGCAAAATTAAACACAGAGGAAGCTAATAGATCCTTTCAAAATTTGGCAACGTTCAGGTACTTGGGAGCGGAGGTAACAAATCAAAATTTGATTCATGAGGAAATTAAGAGCAGATTAAATTCGGGTAACGCTTGCTACCATTCAGTTCAGAATCTTGCGTCTTTCGTCTGCTGTCTTAAAGACCGAAATATACAAAACCATGATTTTTTCCTGTAGTTTTGTATGGGTAGGAACCTAGACTGAGGACGATTGAGAACAGGATGCTGAGGAGAATATTTAGGCCAAAGACGGACGAATTACTGCGAGGCTGGAGAGAATTGCATAATGAGGAATTTCATAAGTTGTATTAAACTAATTAAGTCGTGGAGGATGAGATGGACAGGGCATGTAGCCCGCATGGGAGAGTATAGGAATGCATACAAGGTTTTGGTGAAAAAAAATCGGAAGGAAAGAGACCATTAGGAAGACTTAGGCGTAGATGGGAGGATAATATTCTACATAACATTACACGAAGCCTTTAAAATTATTTGTCGCACAAGTTTCTAAAATGAGGCACTTGTACGCGTCATATACAATATCACATTCACTGATAACATAACAAGGAGGTTAAACTCCACTAATATCAGAACCCGGTACTGAAAACGGTTCTAGGTCAGTTCCATCCACCTCACATCCTCATAACCATTTCCAACTACCTTTGCTCAAGCACCAGCCAGTGCCGGGTCCGAGATTAATTTCCCCCAGTAACTATCTCAATATTATCCCCTAAAATCCGTGGTCTACCGAATAGCCGCCTTCAAAAAGGTGGTCACCACCAACATTTTATATTCATTTATGGTTTTCCCACCCCAGTGACGTGGTGATATTCTAAAATTCAAATCCAGGCCCAAAGACCGGCCAGTAAAAGTTTCTTGGAGGTATTCGTTAGTTACCACGCTCATTAAAATAGTCCTTGACTGCTTCGTTCCGCAATATTAGATGGTCATACAACATTCTGTAGTCAATGAAGGTGACAAAACATACATACATACATCTTTATTACATTCCATGGATCCATAAGTTAGTCAGATGACAATAGGATGTAGAAAAAGTCATAATTATACAATACAAATGAACCAAGAAACCAACCTATCTAAGACATAGGCATAGTCCAACGTAAGCTACGTGATTTCACGAAAGCAACAAACTTACTTCAAATACATGCTTAAGTAAATCACAAACATCGTTCTTAGGTAATATTTCCCATTTCCCACTTCATAATATAATGTACAACAGTCCCGTTTCACGTAACGAAATCATGAGTGGCTCAACGGACAGGATGCGTCTCTTAGAACTTCTCATACACACGTCCCATTCTGACGATTTCGTAGTTATGAAGTACGTGTGAGTGGCTTTCTATTGATTATTATTTTATTAAATGACAGGCGTCTATCCCAGCATTTAAATAAAATATTCGGCATGTAAATATTTTAAACATTATCCTCCCATCTAAGTCCATTCCTCTCATGGGATACTCTACTTTTCATGCAATTATACGTACGTATTTATGATTTCCTACATGCAGTCACATTCCCAGCCAACTTCACCCTTCCTGTTATAATAGTTCGAACAACATGAAAGTAAGGGGACTTACGAAGCTCTTCGTTATGTAATTTTCTCAATAACTTAATCTAACAACAAATTAATAAACTTTCTGCAATTACAAAAACAAAATAGTAAGAGAATACTGACCTTCCTCATCCAACGTGCTTCTTTCAATACCACGTGCCGACTGGTTGACTCCCATGGTTTCTCACAAACTGTCAAATTCAGGAGATTTGTACGCTCGTTTTATTTATATAACATGGGACACAGCTGACTTCATTCTTCAACACACTCATGGGTACAGTACCCTATCAGCACATTCGGAATATATTTTTCGTGTATTATAAGCAGAAAATACGCTGACAACATGTAGTCCCCATCTGTTTCCACTTCATAACGATCAGGAATTATCCACGTAATTTTAAAGTTCAAGTACACATTCATGTGTTGATAAGGTGTGTGACGTCAGACAGCCCAGAGCTTCACCACCATCGGCTTACTCCCTTCACTGGGACAACTGTGCGATTTGACTGTCTTCAGTACGGATATCACGCTGGAGGGGAAACGACAGTGTGCGCTTGCGTCGATATTCCTATCGCCAGTTTCACCCCGAAATAACGACGTTAAAGTATTTTTAGCCTAATCTCCTTATCCTTTAGGAAACGTCTTTTAGCCAAGCCTGTGCACCATCATACCCCTACGTCCCTGAGTTTCCTTCATAACTTAACAACTATTTTAATTATCTTATATTT